TGCGCATAGGCTCGAGTAAGGTTAACCAGTTCTAAAGGGTTTTGACTATTTTGTGAAAAGTCATAGCGTGAAATATGATAGCTAAGATTAGAGTATTCGCTGCTTCATTAGATTCAGTGGACAATTCAATCCTTCCCCCCCCCCCTCCCGTCCACTCCACTTTGGAGGAAAAAGCGGACTGAGTTGGACTGTGCCGACAATCTCATCACTGGTCTCAGAATCAAACACATAGCAACAACCGTGGAGGCTGAGTGGCGGTTGGGGTGGGTGAGGGGAGCGTATATGGGGACATGGCGGTGGTGTAGGGTCGCAAATTTTCGGGAAACTGCGAACGCGACGGTTGACTGTGGTGGGTAAGAGGAATGCCGACTTTTGCATTTCGTGTATGGGGAGAGAAAACAATTTATGGGGAAGTATGCCCAAAGCATAAACTTTGTGTACGGATCGTAGACGGTGTCTAAATGGAACAAGAAGAGATAATTTCTTTTAGGTAACTCATTCAGAAATAAGAATCACCTGAAAGGTTTCAATTTGTGGGAGCAATTTGTCCATTTTTTCGTCTTCTCGTCTTGCTTCCAAAATCCAATTAGTTTGGTAGGATCATAGTTGAGTATGCTCGGATCGAATGTGCTGTAATATCAGCATCGAATCAACGAAGCAAAATGACTGACAAGTTACAGAACACAAACTCACTCTTTTGGCTTGGCGCTTTTTCTCTCGATCTTGGCCGATAATTTTGTTTTTCATCAGCCACTCATCGTCGATGAACTCATTCCTGAATATCAAATTTTTATCAGGTTTTCATCTCAATTTATTTGTCCTATTTTGCCTTGATTTTGATTGCTATCTGCCGTTATCGGGCCATGTGAACGGTATTATTTTATCTCGTGGTAAAAGTTATAAATATTCACTTCACAATTAGTTTTTAAATAGCCTTGACAAGACTTTATTTTTCTATTCAACGTTTTCACTTTTTCCTATTTGATATATTCTACTCCGCCCCTCCCCCATTCCAAAAGCCACATCCGCCTGCTGCTGTCTTGTTCACATCGACTGTGAGAGACGCATTCTATAAAGTTCATTGGAGAAACCCATTCTGCAGTATAAGGTATGTGGTTTTAGAGGTCTTGCTACATTCCCGATTCGAAAGCAAACAGCATATACGCCACGATTCAGCCGCCCAGCTTGCAAATCGATGATGTCTGCGTCCCCCTCCCCCCAACCTTTTTTTGTTCACTATGCTCTCTCGCCTCCGAATCTATCCTCTCGCCTGCCGCCCATTGCCTCTCACACCATCGGTCATGTGTGACTAGTTCAAAGCTCAAAAGTGATTACTCTTACTCTTGGTGCTTCGTAAGACTTCTTATATCATTATTAGTTCATTGCGATCCACTTCTTCCCCCTACCATCACTTTTGGGAGCAATAACTACATCTAGTGTTGTGCCTTTAAGATCATTCAGAACTTATTCGGTCGCCCGCCCAAAACTGATTATGTTTGGCTATCGTGGACCGTATAACAACACAGAAGCATTCTATGGAGCCATTTCGTGGCCATTTTAGCGAGAAAACGGCAGAAGCTGCAGGCTCATCTTAAGAAATTAAATGCATACTTACATGTAATTTCTTATTCCATCAGCTCCCAGCACCACGACATTGCTACCTTCTGGCAAACGCTCAGCAAGCTGAAAGGAATTAGATACACAAACTTCGTATAGCATACATTATACGAAGTTATACGAAGATGCTTAGCGTTGAAAGATCCTTCATGGGATGAGCCATGCATCCAGCTCCGATACGAACTGCAGCACCTTTTATATTTGTATTTGGTTTATGCAGTGACTTCCTGATTGGAGACACATTCAATTCTCCTAGTTCTGGTCACCAGAGCTACGCGACCACTGAAACCTAAGGTTAGCGCTGCGTCTTACTACAAGGGAGGTCGTTCAGGGTGTGCCAAGCTTTTTCAAAATGGTTTCTTGCATGACATTGGGGCACATGTGGAACCACAGAACCATGGTTCATTTTTCCTGAACGGCCCCTCTGAATAAAAAAGGGGTCCCTAGTTCGATTCCTCGTGGTGACAAATTTTTGCATTTCGAGTTGACGTTTCCAAAATTCGCGCAAAATGGAGTTAGCATGAATAATTAGTACCATATTCATGATTAGGACCGTCAGTAACCTTACAAATAGACTTTGATTGAAAAAGTGTGACACCAAAACGGCCCCACTGTGATGTCACACTTTTCCACCAGTTTTTTAATCAAAGTCTATTTGTAAGGGTTACTGACGGTCCTAATCATGAATATGGTACTAATTATTCATGCTAACTCCATTTTGCGCGAATTTTGAAACGTCAACTCGAAATGCAAAAATTTGTCACCAAGGAATCGAACTAGGGACCCCCTTTTCTGGTATTCAGAGGGCCGTTCAGGAGAATGGCATGGGCTGCAGTTAACTGCGTGTGCGCCCTATACATGCAGAAAACCGTTTGGAAACGCCTTGCACACCTGAATACTTACCTGTGTTCTTGCGCTTACATATTTCTATCTTTAAGCTAGGTTTAGCTCAGCTGGCTCGCTACGACATAATCAAGATACGCATCTGAGAGACCAGACCCTGAGGAGCAGAACTGAAGCACATCTTTCCCTGAGCTAGAGCATGCATAGGTCACCAATCAACGGCGTGACGCGGCTGCGCGTCACGACTTCGCGCAAAGGGTTCGTTGTTCTTATTCTCCGGATTCTCTAATGTTTCAAAAGTACCCATACTTTATAAAACCGAAAAACAGGATATCCTTACCAATTGGGATCATTGAAAGGGTAAGACGTATGGGAACAATTGAATCTGAGATACACGCACCACTCGCTGTCGTGAATGTTTAAGCAGGCGAATTGAGCAATTTGATAAAGTACTTGTTTGACGCCGTTATTACTGCTCCGTCTTCCGCAGGAACCTATCGCTAAATGTTTATAAGTTAATCTGACCTTGAACGCGGCGAAAACCGCTGCTCCTGATGACGGTCCTACCATCACTCCCTCTTCCTTGATCAAACGGCGCGCCATAAGGAAGGCGTCCTGCAATTTTTTAATTTGTACAAAATTAGGCCCCTGTAAACCTGCTTAGCTTGGCCGGAAAACCTTACCTTAGAGGATACCTCCTCAATACCACTAGCAGATGTAATATCGGTAACTGCTGAAGCATGTCCGAGTTCAGGAACTGGGGGGAACGAGTCATCGTTGCAAACGCCGTATACCTAAATCAAGCACTTACCCTTGAACGGAAGTAGGCAATACCACAGGTGATAGGCCTAACGAACCTTGGTACCCGGAAGGTGCTGCTCGGCGTACTTCGAAATACCTTTCAGTGCAGCACCTGTTCTCACGGGAACTACGATCATATCCACCTAAACATCTCACCATTTTGAACAGCGTAACATCGTAAGTAGTAACCAATCTCACCTTGTTGTTGAGAGCGGTGGCTATCTCAACGGCTGTGCTTTCATAGTGTGCCAGTGAATTAGCAAGCGAAGCTTCCTACAATTTGAATAAAGGCATGAGAATAAGTAGAACAATTCAATGCCGAGAAAAATGTACCTCATCAAGGAAATAGGAGTTTTTAATACCCTGTGCGACGATCTTTGCAAAGTCGTAGTAGGAGAAGCCTTTGTGATGTGCTTCCACATTTGCGAGAACAACCTGAAAATTGAAATCTATTAATTTTAAAGAATCACCCAATAAGTCTTGCCCTTCCCCATTTTACTGCTCGTCTATTTCTCGACGCTAAACACACCAATGGTCTCGCTTGATATCTTCTTAACTCTTCAATTCATAACTAGTCATAAAATGTTTCGACCCTTTAAGGCTCCCAAAAAAAGAACGCCATCCCGCTGAAACGTTAGCCTAATAAAGGTCATTTATCATCCTCGTTAAGAGTCAAGAAATATCACCCAGCGCCATCATGCCGAGGTTCATCCAAAGCTGTACATGGGGACTCCAATGGTCGATAAAGAGCTTAGCCCGCGCTGAAGCTTCAGCTTCAAAATCACCTGACATCTATTCAACATGTTCCCCTGTCTCAGTGATTACTGGTTGCAGTGAAAAGCTTCGCATACGAACTCCTGCACTCCGCCCATCTCCTGAGCGAGCTTCTCTCGCGTATTGCAAAGGGAGAACGTGAGCTCCTTCATTTGACCCACTTTCTAGACGGACGATCCCCTCTGAAATCTTCTCGAAGAAACGGTCCAAAGATGAGATCGAGGGATATTCGTTCAAATATATGAAGAGCCGTTCTTATTCAGAAGCTCGCCATTCTTTCCCGACGTGTCTTCCCGACCTTGGCAATGTGTGCTAAACCGGTCAGAAGATCACGAAAGTCCGGAC